CGTTACATTATTAGAAAATACTATTTTAACCTCATACAAATGATGTTCTATCATTAGCTAGTGACGAGCAGATCAAATCAACTTTGAAATGATGCGGAACGGTTACACTAATAACTCCACAACAAACAGATATATCCATCCGAATCACAAAGATTTACGATGGAAGTTTCTCCATGCACTACACTTATATGGAGAAATTTATCTTTGACACCTAATTAAGAACACTAACGATTCTATCTACTAATCTACATGATGTTGAACTACAACGAATGGACCTTCGATAAACAAAAAACTATTTGACAGATTTAAAAATACTGTATCTGAATTTTTTTCTTAAAAATGTTCAACAAAATATATAGAAAATTACTGTAGAAAAAGAAAGAAAAGATACAGTATTGATCTATAAAAGGTCAAAACTGAAACATCTTTCAAGTATAAATTTTTTTTCTCACCCAAATATATAGAAAATATTTGTAATTAAAAAATAGATAGAAATATGGGAAATATCTATAAATGGGTCATTTGTCAAATCAATTTTGTATTTCCGACATATCTGTTTCCTTTGAAACTTCAAAGCAGTATTTGACAAAGAAAACGTATAAAAATGTGCTGATTGATAAAATAATGGACTGATTGTTCCGTTGTTGAAATAAATAGCACCAAATTATAAATAAATAAAAAAGTCCGAAAATATAGAGAAAACCCTAAAACCCTCTTACGTCTCTCACTCTCCTGTAGTCTCCAGTGTTGCAGAAGCCGACAGACACCAAAGGTAGAAGAAAGCGAAAATGAGAAACCATTGCTTAGACCTCTCTGCCAATTACTCTTCCATTTTCGCCTCTTCCAAATCCAATCGTCGTTTCTCCCCTTCCAATCTCCCCAATTCCGGCTTCTTCTTCCGCTCTGCCAACATCTTCAGAGCAAAACCAAGGCTAGGCTCTGCTTCTTCTTCCACCTTCCTGCTATGTCTGACTCGGAAACGGCCCGTTACACGGGTTCTCAAACCCGTCTCAGAACTCGCCGACGCAACCAAAGCTTTTTCTCCGGAGGTAGTCGGGAAGAGAACCGATCTGAAGAAGATTCTGATCCTCGGCGCCGGTCCGATTGTGATCGGACAAGCCTGCGAGTTTGATTACTCAGGAACTCAAGCTTGTAAAGCCCTAAGAGAAGAGGGCTACGAGGTCATTCTCATCAATTCGAATCCTGCCACTATCATGACCGACCCAGAAACCGCTAATCGGACTTATATTGCTCCGATGACTCCTGAGCTCGTCGAGCAGGTCATCGAGAAGGAGAGACCCGACGCTTTGTTGCCAACCATGGGTGGCCAAACCGCCTTGAACCTCGCGGTTGCTCTCGCCGAGAGCGGCGCTCTGGAGAGATACGGCGTGGAATTGATCGGTGCTAAGCTTGATGCGATCAACAAAGCCGAGGATCGTGAGTTGTTCAAGCAGGCGATGAAGAACATCGGGCTCAAGACCCCACCTTCAGGGATTGGGAACACTCTCGACGAGTGTTTCGACATTGCGGAGAGAATCGGTGAGTTCCCTTTGATTATCCGTCCTGCGTTCACTCTAGGTGGTACTGGTGGTGGAATCGCGTATAACAGAGAGGAGTTTGAGTCGATCTGTAAAGCGGGTTTGGCTGCGAGTAGGACAAGTCAGGTTCTTGTGGAGAAGTCGTTGTTGGGTTGGAAAGAATACGAGCTTGAGGTGATGAGAGACTTAGCTGACAATGTCGTCATCATCTGTTCCATTGAGAATATCGATCCTATGGGTGTGCACACTGGTGATTCCATCACCGTGGCACCTGCGCAGACTCTGACGGATAGAGAGTACCAGCGGCTTAGGGATTACTCCATTGCGATTATAAGAGAGATTGGTGTTGAGTGTGGTGGATCTAATGTGCAGTTTGCAGTGAACCCAGCTGATGGTGAAGTTATGATCATAGAGATGAACCCTAGGGTCTCTAGATCTTCTGCTCTTGCTTCCAAGGCTACAGGGTTTCCCATTGCTAAAATGGCTGCCAAGTTGTCTGTTGGGTACACCTTGGACCAGATTCCTAATGATATCACGAGGAAAACACCCGCTAGCTTCGAGCCCTCCATCGATTATGTTGTGACAAAGGTTTGCAGTTCTTTCTTGTGCATACTTTTAGCTGTGTTTGTGTTGCGATCTGTAAAGTGTATACTATATAAATTGCGCTGGGCTAAGTATTTAGAATGCAGTAAACTGGGATGCATATGTTACTTAATACTATCTCTTTATAATGCAGATTCCTAGATTTGCATTTGAGAAGTTTCCAGGATCTCAGCCGTTGCTAACGACCCAGATGAAATCTGTAGGAGAGTCTATGGCTCTCGGCCGCACATTCCAAGAATCTTTCCAGAAAGCTCTGAGGTCTCTTGAGTGCGGATTCTCCGGTTGGGGTTGTGCAAAAATTAAAGAATTAAAATGGGACTGGGATCAACTAAAATACAGCCTTAGAGTCCCGAATCCGGACAGGATCCATGCGATATATGCTGCTATGAAAAAGGGTATGAAAGTTGATGAAATCCATGAGTTAAGCATGGTAGACAAGTGGTTCCTTACCCAGCTTAAAGAGCTCGTGGACGTGGAGCAGTATCTCATGTCCGGACCCTTGTCCGAGATTACAAAAGAAGACCTTTACGAAGTTAAAAAGCGGGGATTTAGTGACAAGCAAATCGCTTTTGCTACAAAGACAACCGAGGAAGAAGTGCGGACCAAGCGGATTTCTTTAGGAGTTGTTCCATCTTACAAGAGAGTAGATACATGTGCAGCAGAGTTCGAAGCACATACACCATACATGTACTCGTCATATGATTTTGAATGTGAATCAGCTCCAAATACCAAGAAGAAAGTTTTGATTTTGGGCGGAGGGCCAAACCGTATTGGTCAAGGGATTGAATTTGATTACTGTTGTTGCCACACATCTTTTGCCTTACAGGTCTGTCTCTAGGCTATCTAAGAGTCTTTCTCTAGAGCCAGTTAACATCATTTTCAACTTTGTTCGCGACTTATATATTGTTTAATCTTAATTGCAGGATGCCGGCTATGAGACCATAATGTTGAACTCAAATCCCGAGACAGTATCCACGGATTATGATACAAGCGATAGGCTCTACTTTGAACCCCTCACAATCGAGGACGTTCTCAATGTTATTGACCTTGAGAAACCTGATGGTATAATCGTGCAATTTGGTGGTCAAACTCCTCTGAAACTTGCTCTCCCAATCAAACATTATTTGGATAAGCACAAGCCCATGAGCTTGAGTGGAGCGGGACCTGTTCGAATCTGGGGTACGTCACCTGACTCCATTGATGCTGCTGAAGACAGAGAGAGGTTCAATGCAATTCTCAACGAGCTGAAAATTGAGCAGCCTAAGGGAGGCATTGCAAAGAGCGAAGCTGATGCGTTAGCCATAGCAAAGGAGATAGGCTACCCGGTTGTGGTAAGACCTTCTTATGTTCTAGGTGGACGAGCAATGGAGATCGTTTATGATGACAGTAAACTTATAACCTATTTGGAGAATGCGGTTGAAGTCGACCCAGAGAGACCTGTTTTGGTAGATAGGTATCTCTCTGATGCCATCGAGATCGATGTTGATACCCTTACCGATTCCTATGGAAATGTGGTGATTGGCGGAATAATGGAGCATATCGAACAAGCTGGTGTGCACTCTGGTGACTCGGCTTGTATGCTTCCAACACAAACCATCCCAGCTTCTTGTTTGCAAACGATCCGGTCATGGACCACCAAGTTGGCGAAGAAGCTAAATGTTTGTGGGCTGATGAACTGTCAGTATGCAATCACATCATCTGGGGATGTTTTCTTGCTCGAAGCCAATCCCCGAGCTTCCCGTACTGTCCCTTTTGTATCAAAAGCCATTGGACACCCTCTTGCCAAGTATGCAGCACTGGTTATGTCGGGAAAATCTCTCAAAGATCTCAACTTTGAAAAAGAAGTCATCCCCAAACACGTCTCTGTGAAAGAAGCTGTTTTCCCATTTGAGAAGTTCCAAGGGTGCGACGTGATACTCGGGCCAGAGATGAGAAGCACAGGAGAAGTGATGAGCATCAGTTCCGAGTTCCCAAGCGCGTTTGCAATGGCTCAGATCGCTGCAGGTCAAAAGCTACCTTTAACCGGCACAGTCTTCCTCAGCTTAAACGATCTGACCAAACCGCACCTGGAGAAAATCGCGGTCTCCTTCCTCGACCTCGGGTTCAAGATTGTCGCCACCTCGGGAACAGCTCATTTCCTGGAACTGAAAGGCATCCCTGTGGAGAGAGTGTTGAAGTTGCATGAAGGAAGACCACATGCGGCTGATATGGTGGCTAATGGTCAGATTCATTTGATGTTGATCACGAGCTCGGGAGATGCTCTTGATCAGAAAGATGGGAGAGAGCTCAGACAAATGGCTCTAGCCTACAAGGTCCCGGTTATAACCACTGTGGCTGGAGCATTGGCCACTGCTGAGGGAATCAAGAGCTTGAAGTCAAGTGCAATCCAAATGACTGCTCTTCAGGACTTCTTTGAGGTGAAGGATGTATCTTCTTTGCTTGTCTGAGTTGAGTTTTTTTTTTTTCTATATGTTGAAGCGTTTGTGTGGAACTTTTACCATTTCTATTAAATGTCAACGGATTTGGTTTTCTCATAAGCATTTCTTTGAATAATCTTCAAAGATCAATTTTCTGAAATGCAGTCTACGTATGTGATTTATCAGTCGGCTTTGTATCTGTGATATATAGGTCTTTGTTTGTATCAGATTCATCCAAAATTCAATAATGATGCACGAAATAGTTTCATTGAATCTGCAAAATTTGCAAGTATAGAGCTTGAATCTGCATTTTCTAGAGGTCTGAAAGTGCAGAATGTCGGTCCCTATTTTGGCTAAAACTTGTGTTATGTAAAATAAAATTGCTGTGATTAAGTGCACTCAAGAACATAAACCCTATTCAATTCTGGTTATTACGATACGAGTTGAGAGAAAAACAAGTTATTCGATTAATGATAAACCATACAAAGTCTTGCAAATTTTTACATCTGGAAATCTGAACCATCCATCACTAACATAAACCTTTATCTTCCTCCTCTTCTTCACACTCTCACTCGAATTCAAAAGACTGAAGCAAATTACAAACGGATAAAACTTCGCTCACTTTCCGGGAACGAAGTTGGTAGCGAAGGCCCAAGCGTTGTTGTTGACTGGATCGGCCAAATGGTCAGCAAGATTCTCCAACGGTCCCTTACCAGTGACAATGGCTTGAACAAAGAATCCAAACATAGAGAACATAGCCAATCTTCCATTCTTGATCTCCTTCACCTTCAACTCAGCGAAGGCCTCTGGGTCGGTAGCTAAGCCCAATGGGTCGAAGCTGCCACCTGGGTAAAGCAAGTCATCGGCTTCTCCCAACGGCCCATTTCCGGCGACTCTGTAACCTTCAACGGCTCCCATCAAGATCACTTGAGTGGCCCAAATCGCAAGAATACTCTGAGCGTGAACCAAGCTTGGGTTTCCCAAGTAGTCAAGTCCTCCTTCGCTGAAGATCTGTGAACCAGCCTTGAACCAGACCGCCTCTCCGAACTTGACTCCGTTCCTGGCCAACAGCTCCGGGAAGACGCAGCCTAGGGCTCCGAGCATGGCCCACCTGGAGTGGATAACTTCTAGCTCACGGTTTCTTGCGAATGTCTCGGGATCGGCTGAGAGACCGGCGGTGTCCCATCCGTAGTCTCCGGGGAACTCTCCGGTGAGGTAGCTCGGTGAATCGCCGGAGAATGGACCCAAGTACTTGACCCTTTCGGATCCGTACCATGGGCTGCCTGATGGGCCCTTTGGCTTGGCCACAGTCTTCCTCATTGTCACACGGCCGCTTCCGAGGACTTCTGATGCCGCCGGGGAGATCTTGACGGCCTTGCCGGCGAAGGCAGGGGAGGAGAGAGCCATTGTTGAGGCAGCCATTGAAACGCTTCTTTTTCTTTTGGTTTTTTGTTTTTTTTTTGTTGGTGACTAACTTGTGAGTGAGAGTGATTGAAAATGGTTAGATAGGTTTGGATTAAATAGAGATATTGCAAGTAAGGTTTGTTATCTGTGAAGTAATCTTTAGCTCTCTACTCATTGGGTTTTTGAGATTTCGTTTTATCGTTTATTGGTCTTACGTGGCATTTGCTCGTCCACCAGCTTTTGCTTTGATTTTTTCACTGCAGCCAAATCATTTTGAGACCACAAGTTGTGAATCGTCGTCGTATGCTTTAACGGTAACACAATTGTGACTTTGCTTTTCCAAAGAACATAAGTTTGTGTGAATTTTGCTCGTCGTAAAAGATTAACGATCTGTGAAAAGATTGATATTCATGATCCAAAATATCATATACAATGATACAAGTGGTAAATGCTTCGATCTTATAATGTGGCCTTTATACAATGTTTCGATCATTGATATCATCACTACCAGTTGAGAATAGAATAGAAACATCGTTTCCAAATTCCATCGTTACTTCATCCGAATCTCATGGATAATAACATTTCCTCTCGGAACTCTGAATTTTTATTGGAGTTATCATTGTTTTAAACAACCCTTTGAACTAACTCATCAATTTAACAAACTTGATTATTCTATTATCTTCAATTCATCATAACATTACGATCTTGTAGAAATGAAAAAAAAATTATAGAAAAGGCCTTGAGCAATCATTACACGTCTCGTTTAACGGTTTTACTTAGCTCTAACAATTTTCTATAAATCATCAATTCTTCTTACAATCACTGAATGAGCTCACGCATGAATTCACATAGTAGTCAAGGCCGAGTTTAATTCTTCTTACGTATAATTATGTATTGTTAATTCATCTTAGGGCCGAGTTTCGGTTCCAGTAACCTTCGTGGAGCTCATGCTTCAACAAACATAATTAATGAGCCAAACCACCCGTGAAATATCAATTAAACATGAATCTTCATCACTTGGCTTGATTCAATGTGGAAATACATAGTTAAGAGACGAGGGGGTCTTAACGAGTTTGGCAAACGGTGTGGTTAACCTACATCTCGCTTGGAACGGTATGTAGTTGATATAAGTCTTATATAGTTTTCAAAAATAACCATGCAATTGACAAAATTAGTCTTTTATAGTTTGAAGTTTTAGCCCCAATTCAGTTCATCGATCAAAGACCATTTCAATGTGTGTTGAGTATCTTAATCTCATAAAAGTTAACATTTTAATTGTAATAAACTCGTAGGAATTTACTTTATATATTGATTTACTAAGACTATCTTCTGAGTCTCTCACTAAAGTCTTTCATACATGAAAATAATGTTAAAATAATTAATAATAATATTTTATTATGAGAGTTTCTTAAAAACATTAGAATAAGAGAGCATGTTTATAGGGGGTTCTATGTGGGTTTCTTGTTGTTTTTAAGTCAAAATAAAAAATAAAATAAAAAACCCAAATTTTGCTCGAGCCAACTCTTATTTCAGACCAACAAGCACCGACTCTTGTGATATTTGTGACAGGTGGCACGACGGTATTTGTCTCAGAAAAAAAGAAGAGTCTAAGCACATCAATTTATTAATATATATAATATTAACTAGAGAAACAAGCATAGGGTTCTCCCATAAACATGCTCAATGGAGAGACTCTCATTACTTAAGAAGATAAAAAAGATACAACGATTCAAAATTAAGGCGGCAGAGAGAATAACTCTGAAAGCCGGGCTTAATTTATTCATGAAAACATAAACGCACCAAACATATATATATTATTAACGCTATTTCCATTACAAATGCCACGAGTTTATCGGACACGACGAGTTGAGAAGTTTGCCAAGCCGACACTAGGATAACAATCCCGAGGAGTTGAGACAAAGTTTCTCAAGCGGAAACGAGGATAACAACGAGGAGTTGAGATGAAGTTTCCAAAGCCGAAACGGGAATAACGAGTAGGAGTTGAGATAAAGTTTCCCGTGCGGAAACGAGGATAACGATGATCCCAAGGAGTTGAGATCAAGTTTCCCATGCCCATACCACGGACACCATCCCAGCGATCACCAAAGCTTTGATGGAGCTTTCTTTTTTTCTTCAACTTTACGCGAACTTGAGATGGCGAAGCCGACACCACGGACACCCTCCCAGCTATCACCATAGCATTGATGGAGCATCTGGAAAACAGGCCAATTCTTGGCATCAGGGTCCGTGACATCGAAGTCTGGGTCTACTTTGTCCAAGTGGTCTTGCGCCTCTCCTAGGCCTTTATTCTTGTATATAAGTTCCAAATAGGTTGCATGCTCCTTGGGAGAAAATGTCATTTTCTTTCTCTTCATCCACTCAAAAATCTACGTTACACAAATGTAACAATCTTATATATAAAAGACAATCAACTATCTCCAGCTGAGTGACATATCAGCAGTGGAAAGAGTGACACATATCCATTAAAAATATTAATAAAAGTATTAATTAATTAAATTTAAAGCAAATACATTAAAGATTATAAGTAAATAAATACATTAAATAATAATAGTAAATAATAATATATATTTATATTAGAATGAAATTAAAATTAAATTTAAGTCTATAAAATTTATAAATATTATATAATAAAAAAACTTTTTAAATGCATAATTCTATTTTTTTTCAAGTGATTTAAACTTCATTTTTAAACTAAAATTATAATTAAATTTTAATGCAAGTGAAAAAAAATAGATTGAATAAGTTAAGAAGTTTCAAATAATCTTATATAAAACTCCAACTAATAAAATTATAAAACACAAATAATATTTAAAGAATGATGTCCACATAAAAATGTCTTACATGGTTTTTTTACTAAAAAAAAAAAATGGAATCAAGATATATATAACCAAAAAAAATTAATATAGTAAATTGAGAAAGTTAACAAATATTATATTAGTAAGATTTACAAGACTAAAAAGAATATGAAGATCGAAGAACAAATAAATATTTCTCTCTAATATTCAACGTATATTTTTAAGTGAATTATTACGTTTTCATATAAAATTAAAATAATAGATTTTTAGTTCTTTATTATCTTGAGAGAAAATTAGACTATTTGACACAATTGATGTAGAAGAGATTACATCATAAAGAAATCGAATAAAATATAAATATTTTAAACGCAAAAACATTGATATTAAACATAAAATCCAATACAAATTTAAAAACTGTAATATTTAAAATTTAAATTAAAACAAGATCCGCGTATATGCGCGGATTTTCTCCTAGTTAGCACAAAACACTTTCATTAAATCAATTGGTTACTTAATCCTACACAAAACCTTTTTTTAATTAATTAAATTAGATGATGAACTGCTTAATGAAATGAAATTCTCTCTATCTACTCCCTACCTGGTAGGCGTGTAAATGATTTCCGTCCTTGTGGATAAGCTTAGCCCAGCGGACGAGATCTGCTTGAGTGATGGAAACCCTCTCTTCCTCCTTCCTAAACGCCGCGTTTAACGTCCCATTCACTGTCCCTCCAAAAACTTTCAGATTCCAAAGTTTCTTTAGTATCTTCCTCTTCTCTCTGCCAGCAACCGCCGCCGATGGTGCGGTAACTGAGGTCTTGACGTTAGCCGACGCCGGAGCAGCGACCGTTGTACAGGCCCTCTTCCAGAGATGAGAACCGGAAGCCACGAGATTACGGCTCATCATCAAGTTCATTGTGATCAGTTGCAAACCCTAAAATGTTCACTAACCCTATTACAAAAAATTTCTATAATATGTGCAGTTTATTAAACCTTGGGCCCTTTTTGTTGGTTTAAAATGTGTTGTGTTTTTGAGTTTGTAGGCTTGTAGCAAGCCTATAACTAATTCGAAGGTGCTGTCTGAATTTTATGTTAAGGAGTCTTATCATAATTAATGTGATATGTGGATTGCAAAATGGAAAATATATATGCAACTGATATGGATTAATTGAACAAAAACACAGTAGTACAGTACATATATGCAAAATGGAGAAGTCCTTCAAAGTCGTCGTCCATACACCGAGGAGCTTCTTGACCCGTGACGTGGCTCAATGTTGTCGATCCCTAACTCTTTTTTTTTTTTAATCACAAAGCTTTAAAATATCTTAAATCAAAAGGTTATATGTATATATATCCTAATCAAATTAATAATGATGATATTTGTCCTTAGCACCGATCATCCAATAAGGAAAGGAACGTACAAAAAACAAATCTCATCGATTTAAATCCCAAAGTTGAATAAATAACCAAAGCATGAATAGAGAAATCAAATCATTTAACAGCTAAACAAAATAGCTTCAAGATCAGGTCAAAGAAAATATTGCTAAATGCTATTAAAAAAATAGTGTTCTCACAATCTAGAATTGGCCTTAGCTAGGCACTTCGCATTAGACATGATTGAGATAAATGTATTCAAGACATTATCTCACCTCTTCCACAAATGGTAAGCACATTTTCACATCTTGTATAATATCCGGTTGAGATGAGTTTGGTTCAATATTTGGGTTAGCTAATAGATGGTTTTCAGTGTATTTACGGGTTAATTAGATGGAATTGGAATTTGCTTATTGTAAATAACTTTAATTTGGACGCATCACAAATGTGAGGAAAGAGCCGACTTGTGTTGTGGGCCTTGTGGCTATGGCCATGACCCGTGGTTATGAATTTTTGTCGAATGACCATGACCCTGATCAATTGATCATGATGGGGGCTTTAACCATTATCTGGACTCTAATGATATGCTGGCACTGATACATGCATTAACATAAATATATTACAACGTATGATCTGCTTTGTTTTATCGTCTTCTCTAGCCAGGGATCATTATTAATCTTCTAAATTTTTATAAGAACAGATTCAGCGAAAGAGCATATAAAAACTTATTTAGAAAAGGTACACTACAATGTAATATATAACAATTTATCCTAATTTTTTTTTTTTTTTTTTGATTGATGCTCTCGGGATTTCAAAAGGATAGAAAGAACGAGTCTTACACGTGGCACTTCATGAGTGGATGTTTCACCATCTCCTGAAACGCTACAAGATCTCTTTAAACGCATATCAACTGCGAGCTATTGAGTAGGATCCACAATTACCACGTAAGCAAACAAAATATCTAAACCCAAAATAAAAATATGTCATTGGCCAATGAAACATCAGAGATTGATATTCTAAGATAAGACTTTATTTCGAAACATCCACTCATGAAGTGCCTCGTGTAAAAATTATGTCAATGGCCAATAGAAACACCAGAGATTGATATTCTAAGATAAGACATTATTTCGACTTTATATTATAAATACCGAAAAGCTCATCAAAGCCAAACCACCCATTTCTTGGCTCACAACAACAACTAAATAAACGTTTTTTTTTTACTTTGCTCCGCACTCAACCGCAATGGCTGCCTCAACAATGGCTCTCTCCTCCCCTGCCTTCGCCGGAAAGGCCGTCAAGATTTCTCCAGCGGCATCAGAAGTCCTCGGAAGCGGCCGTGTGACGATGAGGAAGACCGTAGCCAAACCAAAGGGCCCATCAGGCAGCCCATGGTACGGATCCGACAGAGTCAAGTACTTGGGTCCATTTTCCGGCGAGCCACCAAGCTACCTCACCGGCGAGTTCCCCGGAGACTACGGATGGGACACAGCCGGTCTCTCAGCCGATCCTGAGACATTCGCAAGGAACCGTGAGCTAGAAGTTATCCACTCCAGGTGGGCCATGCTCGGAGCCCTAGGCTGCGTCTTCCCGGAGCTGCTGGCCAGGAACGGAGTCAAGTTCGGAGAGGCGGTTTGGTTCAAGGCCGGTTCACAGATCTTCAGTGAAGGAGGACTCGACTACTTGGGAAACCCAAGCTTGGTTCACGCTCAGAGCATTCTTGCGATTTGGGCCACTCAGGTGATCTTGATGGGAGCCGTTGAAGGTTACAGAGTCGCCGGAAATGGGCCGTTGGGAGAGGCCGATGACTTGCTTTACCCAGGTGGCAGCTTCGACCCATTGGGCCTAGCTACCGACCCAGAGGCCTTCGCTGAGCTGAAGGTGAAGGAGCTCAAGAACGGGAGATTGGCTATGTTCTCTATGTTCGGATTCTTTGTTCAAGCCATCGTCACCGGTAAGGGACCGTTGGAGAACCTTGCTGACCATTTGGCCGATCCAGTCAACAACAACGCTTGGGCCTTCGCCACCAACTTCGTTCCCGGAAAGTGAGCGACTTTTATCTGTATTTTGCTTCAGTGTTTGCTTCGTGTGAGTGCAAGAGGAGAAAGAGTGGTTGTTTAGATGTATAATTTGCAAGTAATAGCTCTTTTTTCTCTCAACTCGTATCTTTGAAGTAAATGGAATTGGATTTATGTTCTAAGGTTCACTCAAATTGCAGAGGCTATTTCCAGTAAGGTAAAATTGAGCTATTTGATTGAACATGTCACCAATGCATTGGTTTTATCCATACCAATGATACACCAACGTTTAAGACGATAACTTCCACCAAAAACCAGAGAACGTTTCACAGAATAAAAAAATATACTAATGAAGCAAAACCAAAACTAATAGCAATGTATTCTTCTTCTACATAACTCTGTTACATTGTGAGATCTAATTCTTGTTCTTGCTTCATCTGTCAAAATTTTCAGACAATTTTGTTCCAGTCTTTGAGAACTCAAAAACTTTGATGTACATACAACATCAAATGAAAGCGAATTTAGACTCCTTCTCTATTGCTTCCTTCTCTATTGCTTCCTTCTCTGCCGCTTAACTGAAGAGTCATCTTAATATTCATTGCCGCCAATTCTGCAGCTAAGTACCTGAACACATATGGCATTGCAACAGTTTCCATCCCTTTGCTTGTCTTGCACGAATCGCAAGTTACCTTCTTTGGAGTCCTGCCAGGAGGTAACTTTCCAATATCTTGAATCAGCTTCTTCTGTTGAACGTTCACAACCGAAGATGTGAGCAAGCTTCCACATAGCGAACACACATCTGCAATGTGGTGATCTGATGAGGTGTGGAGCCTGTCGTGTAATAGATACGAAGCTCCATGAGCAAGCATTGCGTCTCTTTCCATTTCACCAAATCGAATCCCTCCACCTCGTTTCCTTCCCTTGATTGGCTGACGAGTTAGCTGATCCACTAGTCCTATGGATCTAACCTGCAAAGCCAGAATATATGACTCAGACAAAGCTCCAAGATGAGACAAGTGCAACTTGGAGAGTTTTACCGAGGGATCCAAAAACCTGGAATTTGTCTGAGACCATGTGACGTAGTCTTTGGTAGTAAACAGGCCCCATAAATATTCGCCTGCAAATGAACCTTAAAAATTAGAATTAACCAAAACCGGACTCTGTTTATGTGACCGTTGAAGGAGTTAACCTCACCTTTTGAGGATGCGTCTTGCTTTTCATGTCCACAGAGACAAAGTCAACTATGACAGGGTCGGTGCCATTTCGCTTCATGGTCTTTATTGAGTTAGTTACCCCATCATAGATACTACAGTACGGCTCATTTGGATGTATTTTCTGTGCATCGGAGTTTTTGTGGATGTTAACAAGGAAACTAAAATTACAGAATGAGTCTACAGCACATCAAGAGGATGGAAAGTAATGATTTTACCTGTCCAACATATGGTAACTCATCAGCATCAATACAAGAATGAGCTGATTTGTCAAATTTTCTTCTCCTGAAACTTTTATGAGCATTTTCCGATCGGCTTCTCTGATCTGACAGATCAACAGTTTCTGTCTGCAAGATTATGAGGACAAGGGTAAGAAATTCACAGAAGGGAAATGCTGAGTAATTTGTACGATGATAATTAACCCCTCGCTGCAACTACAAGAATATTCCGGGTTTCATAAAGAAACGAATGCAGAGGACAATGACCAGGCTTAAATTAAAGTTGGAGATAAAAAAAAATTCCTTGCAACTACGCTTAAGCACCATATCCAAAGATTTCTTCTGAATGCTTGATAACAAAAATGGAAAATGGGCCAAAACAATTTCTTACCCAGTATGAGCCAGGACAGCAACTATTGCATTAGTCCCTGTTGGATTCTCATCAATGCTGTACGTGGTGTATGTTTTCGTGCGCACCACGGGGGATTGAGGAGTCTGTGCCATACAGATATAATTTTACAAGACATGGGACCAAAAGAGGGAAATGATTAAATGAACATTGTAGCATGTACTTCTGCTTTCTGAGAGCATAAATGTAAATTAGAACTGACCTGCAAGTGGTAAATCTTCTGGTCAGCACGAAACTGGAGTGCTTGATTAGAGTACGCCATGGTTTGTTTCGCCATCTGTATTGCATTAAATCTTAAACACATGCTTCCACTAGCATAACTGAGTTCAAACTTTCATTAATATAATAGTATGTACATACATGTTACGTGGACTTTGACACCTTAGCAAATCTCCTTTCTCGAGTCTTCACAAGCACAGAAAAAGCTTCTAGGTGCTTCTAGGTTTTTTTTTTTTAGTTGTTTCCTTTCTGCAACACAGCGATGGCGGCGAGAAATGCTCTGATTCGACACCTTAGAGTCTACGTCAAAGCATCACTTCTAAAGCATAACATTGGCGCTCGAGAATCTGCTCTCCCTTTCACCGTTCTTCTTCGCCGTTTCTCCGACGAAGTTAGAGGATCGTTTCTAGACAAATCTGATGTCACAGATCGCGTTATCTCAGTCCTCAAAAACTTTCAAAGAGTCGATCCCTCAAAGGTATTCCAGTTATATTTTTCCTTGATTGGAGCTATATGTTTTGTATGTAACGCCAGTGCACATCTCAGAGCTCGTCTTTTCATCAAGTCAGGGAAAACAGTTTACACTTCTCTCCTCCACCTTTTGGCAGGGACACCATTGCTGATATAGCAGCAATGGTTGGTCCCTCCATTGTGGAGATTGATGTTTCAGAAAGTATATGTATAATTAAAATCACAAACAAAGAATCCTTACGAAAATAAAACACACACCAACAATGTAAAGATTAAAGTGCAAGATCTGTTCAGTAGGTACTCTCGGGCAGTGACAGATGTGATAGTTGGCAATTACTGTACCATAGCTATCAATAATCATATACCCAAACCAAAAGAGCCTCCTTTCTTCTTATAAACTTCTGTTAGCATCACAAAAAACAAAGTTAATCAGAAATAACTTATGCAGGGACAACAAAATAATTTATGCAGAAATACATATACTTTCTAAAACATCAATCTCGACAATGGAGGGATCAACCATTACTGCTACAGGATTGGACCATTGCTTTTGGTTCCCCAATTTCCCTCCCTCGATCAGTTACTATCGATATCATCAGATGGTTACATTTCTTTTACTAACTTAGTTATTATTATAGAATTCATAAATTTTATTCATGTATCGTTTTATACTTTCCTACATGCTATTTGTGTGGATCGACGTCTTAAGGAAATGGGATATCATTTCCAATACCTCGGCTTTGGTTGTCCAAAACTAGAGCATTTCCAAACAGATGTGGCTACGAACAAGGTAAAAACAAAATAATTACAATTTTTTTTACATTATTTTAGAGATTATTTTGTAACATTTGATTTGTGATTTACAGGGGACTTCTGGAGGGCCTCTTTTCGATATGGATGGCAAGATCATAGGAATTAATTCCAAGATCTCATTGAATAAAGACCATCCATTATATTTATACTAGTAGAACAGGATTCTCCTTTGCCGTTAAAATTGACCGTGTGAAGCCATTTGTCAACAACTAATACCGCAGAAGAAATCCGAAGATTAAGAAAGAGTTTTGCCTTCATCCATGAATATACAAGTTAATCACTCTTTTTTGTTTTCCCCTCTTTAGTTTAAGGATTTTATGTCCTTGATTAAAGTATATAGAGGGATGAGTTTAATCGGATTTAGGAAATCATTTTGAAGACCATCTATTGTTTTTCCCTCTTTATTTTAGGGATTTTACGTCTCTGATTTATATAGAGGAATGAGTTTAATCGGATTTAGGGAAACATTTTGAAGACTGGGATCAGATGATTTTGTACTACTGAACAGTTTTTATTTCGGTTAAATATTTTATACCTGATTTCAATTCGTAATTAAAGCCTTTTGATTTCAAATCCATTTTATGCGAAACTGGATTTGAGAAGTTTGTAATGCATCACGTGGAATATTTATGTTTTATAATCTGTAGAGATGATATTTTGCGGTTACCTTAGGTAAGTGGAGAATGTTGTGGTAGTTAATTAACTGAGCCGCTTCAATTCTTTATAATGCTTTTTTACTTACATCTTTATAATGCTGTCCACATTATCTCTTATGCCAGTCTTCATACGACTCCTTGAAGAGATGGGCCTATGTATATTACGCGAATATCTTGCTTGTGTTGTCACGTGGAGGTTCCATGTAAACTATTCAGGGACAATCGGTACTTAATTCGTGTGCTCTTGTTTGCTGGTGACGTGCCACGTGTCTGATTGACTTAGCTGACGCCTAAATGGAACTTGGAAGTGCCGTGCTTCTTCACCGCGTGTATTTCATAGTTTCATTTGATGAAACATTTTGAAATACAATATATAGCTCTCTCTCTTTTTTTGGTTAAAGAAATACAATATATAGTTAAAACGAATGACGAAACTCAGTGCAAATGCGTTGCTGCATCTTTAATTCGCTATTTTGACTTTTCAACAAAGAATAAATCTTTAACTCGTTAATATACCGAGGATTCACTATTGTAGTGTTCTGAAACCTATAGTATCAAAAAATTTATGTCTCGTTTGTGTCTCTTTTGTTCCCAATTCGAAGTATTCTTTGGACATTAATCATACGATTTGTAAATGAGAAAAAAAAAAAGGGAGGGAGGGAGAGGGTTTTAAGAGGAAACAGGGTTACTTGACAGCTTTCGGATTCCTTGGTACACAAGACACCGATATGTGTTGGACAAGCTTTCGATAATTTCAATCTTGTGATCGTTGTTGTTTAGATTCACTTCTAAAAGTTACGTTTATGCAAAAATATAGCTAGATATAGTTTAGAAAAATTAATATAGTCAGTTGCAATCACATTGGTATGAAAACTAGTTGAGTAAAATTATAGTGATTCTCATCATAAAAGAGATTTTACACATCAACATTATATTCTTCACAAGACCACCTCTGATGATCCAAAACACATCCAGTATATGCTTCACCGATGGAGAGCTTGGAGGGGGGGACACCAAAAATGCAGGATTAGGCTGGCAAAAGGCCAAGCAGCCGAAGCTTTCGTCAACTCGCCCCTGATGGCTGAAGCCTTAGGCCGATCTCCACTCCCATAATGTTAGCTGAATCAGCTATGGTTAGAGCTATATATGGTTGTGTCCGGTTCGATACTCACGACGACCGACACGATTAGTGAGTCCAACTTGAGCCGGTTAAGGTTTTAGTTCTTCGAAGGAACTCTTGTTACCAACTTTGGTTAAGGGACTTAAGGCTCTCTTCACCATTGCTGTGCATAAACCCTTGTGGTTTCCTAAACGATTGTTCAAGGACTTCGTTGAGGTACTTAATTTAGTGCCCAATGCTTTTTTTTCATTTTTAGTGTTTTAGGGAAAATAGCTAATATTCCGTGTTTGTTAAAGAAATGATATTGCACTTTGTAGTTTTTTAGCAGCCATATATTTTTTGCAAACTAATATTTTGGTTGCGATTCTATAAGCTTAACGATAAACATGTTTTTTAAAAAATTATGTGTTTGTATTGTTTGTTGGTTTTGCTGACATCCAATTCATTTTTCAGTTGCAGTATCTTCCGAGACATGCAATTGGTCAATTAGTTGGGAAAAAAAAACCTCCCCCCCCCCCAAATTACACCAGTTTTGGTCAAAAACCCCAAATAATTTTTTTCCCCGAGCAAAAGAAAACCCCTCTTCCATTGTCTCGATATTTCAGTCCAGAATCCTGAAATGGTATCGCCAGGGAGAAATTAAAGTTTCATATCTTAGCTCCCTGACGAATCGTATTGGAACAGGAAGGTGGAAAATTGGGTATTCAAGGGCTTTTGACGTTGCTAAAATCAACAATGGTTCCGATGCATATATATATCAAGAGGGTTGTACCGTCGCATAGGTTCCATTAGAGGCCAGGAACGCAAAACTTTGAAGATCGCTAACGTGTTACACAAGAAACAGATACCTCGAAAACACAATTGATCAGAAACGAAAACACAACAAAAACTAATAAGAGAGCGAAAAACTAAACAAAAAAAATTCAAAGAAAGCACGAAAGACACAAACGTAAAAATCAGAAGACCACTAACGTGATATACAAGAAACAAAAAGGAACGACGCATACGCGGGTCAGTTTCGTGATCACAATGAATCAGACAGGGACGCAACAGTATAGACTGAAAGATGTTGAGAGATGCAGAGGAGAAATCATAAAACAGTGTCGAGGTTGTTGCTACATAAGAAGAGGGTAACTTTCTTTATGCAGTATGCTTTGTTTGATATAACGCGTGTGTAGCAATAAATATATATATATATATATATATATATATATATATATATATGACTTGGGCAATGCTCGGGTTGGTCGCATGGTTATAGAAGATTAGTGTCTTTAATACCTTACTCTTCTCTCTGGCGGCCACCTTCGCCTTCGCCTTCTCATCATCAGAAGTCGAAGAAGATCCATCGCTTGTCGCCTTGACGCCAGCCACCGCCGCCGATGGAGCGGTAACAGAGGTCTTGACGTTAGCCGACGACGCCGGAGCAGCGACCGTTGTTCAGGCCCTCTTCCAGATATGAGAACGGGAAGCCACGAGATCACGGCTCATTATCATGTTCATTGTGATCAGTTTGCAAACCTTAAAATGTTCACTAACCCTGATGCCTGATTACAAAATATTTCTATAATATGTGTAGTTTATTAAACCTTGGGCCCTTTTTGTTGGTTTAAAATGTGTTGTGTTTTTGAGTTTGTAGGCTTGTATAGCCTATAGCCAAATTCGAAGGTGCTGACTGAATTTTATATTAAGGAGTCTATCATAATTGATGCGATACGGATTGCAAAATTTTCTAAAAATACACACAAGTGCCATAGATAAATATTTTATCAACTGATATGGAGAAGTCCTTGAAAGTCGTCGTCCATGCACCTTGAGGAGCTTCTTGAAACGTAACGTGGCTCAATGTTGTCGATCCCTAACTATTTTTTTTTTATTCACAAAGCTCAAAGCTTTAAAATATCTTAAAATCATATCATTAATGATATTTGTACCGATCATCCTATAATGAAAGGAACGTACAAAAAAAACAAATGTCATCAATTTAAATCCAAAAGTTGAATAAAATAACCATGAATAGAGAAATCAAATAATTTAGCAGCCAAACAAAATAGCTTCAAGATCAGGTCGAAGAAAATATTGCTAAAAGCTATTTAAAAAAAAAAAAAATGTTTTCACAATCTAGAATTGGCGTTAGCTTGGCACTTGCATTAATTAGAAATGATTGAGATACAAAATGTATTCAAGACATTCTCCCACCTCTTCCACAAATGGTAAGCATATTTTTACATCTTGTTTAATGTTCGGTTGAGATGAGTTTGGTTCAATATTTGGGTTAGCTAATAGATGGTTTTCAGTGTATTTACGGGTTTGATGGAATTGGAATTTGCTTATTGTAACTTTAAGTTGCACGCATCACAAATGTGAGGAAGGAACCGACTTGTGTTGTGGGCATTGTGGCTATGGCCATGACCCGTGGTTATGAATTTTTGTCGAATGACCATGACCCTGATCAAGTGATCATGATGGGGGATTTAACCATTATCTGGTCTCCAATGATATGCTGGCACTGATACATGCATTAACATTATAGATCAAGTTGCTAATAAAGATATTACGAAGTATGATCTACTTTGCTAGCTATTATCGTCTTCTCTAGCCAGGGATCATTATTAATCTTCTAAAATTTTATAAGAAAAGATTCAGAGAAAGAGCATATAAAAATATAATTAGAAAAGGTACACTCTAATGTAATATACAATTTATTCTACTTTTTTTTTTTTTTGATTGATGCACTCGGGATTTCAAAAGGATAGAGAGATCGAGTCTTACACGTGGCACTTCATGAGTGGATGTTTCACCATCTCCTGAAAACTTAAAACGCATATCATCAACTGCGAGCTATATTAAGTGGGACACACAATTACCACCACGTAAGCAAACAAAAAAATATAAACCCAAAAAAAATATGTCACTGGCCAATAGAAACATCAGCGATTGATACTCTTAAGATAAGACATTATTTCGACTTCATATTATAAATACCGAAAAGCTCATCAAAGCCAAACCACCCATTTCTTGGCTCACAACAACAACTAAATAAACGTTTTTTTTTATTTTGCTCCGCACTTAACCGCAATGGCTGCCTCAACAATGGCTCTCTCCTCCCCTGCCTTCGCCGGAAAGGCCGTCAAGATTTCTCCAGCGGCATCAGAAGTCCTCGGAAGCGGCCGTGTGACGATGAGGAAGACCGTAGCCAAACCAAAGGGCCCATCAGGCAGCCCATGGTACGGATCCGACAGAGTCAAGTACTTGGGTCCATTTTCCGGCGAGCCACCAAGCTACCTCACCGGCGAGTTCCCCGGAGACTACGGATGGGACACAGCCGGT